GTTGATAATTTTTTTTTTCTTACAGAGGATCAGTTTAGTATGCATTAAGTAAAGATTTCAACAGTTTGCACCCCCATAGAAACACAAAGTGAAATATATTGTTTGATTACTCATTATAGCATTAAATCTCAATGCACAGCACATTAAGGATAGAGATCCTACATGAGGAGTAAGTGCACAGTGACTCCTGTTGTTGACTTTACCAATTGACACTCCTGTCTATGGCATCAGTAATCTCCCTATGCTCCGGTCATGAGTTTCCAAGGCTATGGAAGCCCTCTGAGTTCTCCAGTTCTTCAAGGTCATAGTCAAAGTGGAGGTTCTCTCCTCCCTTCAGAGAAAGGTACCTCCTTCTTTGAAGACCTGTTCTTTCCACTGGAATCTCACTCACAGAGATCTTTTGCCAGAGTGTCTTGGCTTTCCATGCCTGAAATACTCTCATGGGCTTTTCAGCCAGATCCGAATGCCTTTAGGGCTGATTCTGAGGCCAGAGTGCTATTTAGGACATCTGCCATTCTATGAGTCTGCTGAGTATCTCACTTCCCATGTTGGATCACTCTCCCCTTTATTTATTCTATCGGTTAGTGTTAGCAGGTACTAGACATGTTTATGTGCTCCCTTTGACTCTTAGTCCTTTCATTATGATCAATTGTGAACTGAAATTGATCACTTGGAATAGTGAGATGGCATTGGTACATGCCACCTTGATGGGATTGAATTGGAATCCCCTGGTATGTTTCTAACTCTACCATTTGGGGCAAGTCAGCTTGAGCATGTCCCAAATTATACATCTCTTCCCTCTCTTATTCCCACTCTTATGTTTAACAGGGATCACATTTCAGTTAATTTTCAACACTTAAGAATAACTGTGTATTAATTGCAGAATAACAGGCATGAGGTGATATCTCATTGTGGGTTTAATTTGCATTTCTCTGAAGGATAGTGGTGATGAGCAATTTTTAATACACCTATTGGCCATTTGAATGTCTTCTTTTGAGAAGTATCTATTCCAATTCTTTAACCAATTTTTAATTGTGTTATTTCTTTTCTGGCTATTGAGTTGTTTGAGTTCTTTATATATTTTGCATAGTAAGTCTTTATCAGATATATGATTTGTAAGTATTTTCTACCATTCCATAGATTGACCTTTCATTTTGTTCATTTTTTTCTTGTAAAAATTTTTTGATTGATATAATCTCATTCTTCTGTGTTTGCTTTTGTTGCCCGTGCTTTTGTCATAACTAAAAAGTTATTGTCAATAGCAATGTCATGGATCTTTTCTTCTATGTTTCCTTTTAGTAGTTTTATGATTTCTGTATTACTAACAGTTTAAAGTTTTAAACTTTTATGACTTTGTTTTTGCTATTGTTGTGAGATAAGGGTCTAATTTCATTTCTCTGTCTGTGGATATCCAGTCATCTCAACATCATTTATTGAAGAGACTGTCTATTTTCTACTATGTGTTGGAAATCTTGTCAACATTTAATTGGCCATGAATGCATGGATTGATTTCTAGGCTTTCTATTCTGCTCCATTAGTTTATGTGTTTTTCTTTATGCTAGTGCTATGTTGATTCACTTATTAAGACTTTGCAGGATATTTTGAAGTTAGGTAGTGTGATACCTCCTGCTTTGTTCTTTTTACTAAAGATTTCTTTGGATAATTGGGATATTTTGTAGTTTCATATAAATTTTAGTTTTTTTCTATTTTCATGAAAAAATCATTGGAATTTTGATAGGGATTGCATTGAATCTGTAGATCACTTTGGGTAGTATGGACTTTTTAACAATATTAGTTGCTGTAATTGGTGAACACTGGATACCATTCCATTCATTTGGTATTCAACATCTTTCATCAATTTATCATTTCACTATACTGTTCTTTAAGTTTATCAGTTAAGTTTATTCCTATTTTTTATTTTTAGATATTCAGAGTAGAATATTTTTTAATTTACAGATAGTTTACTCATGGTATATAGAAGAATTACTGATTTTAATATTAACTTTGTAGCCTGCAACTTTACTGAATTATTTGATTAATTCTGTTTGTTGGTGGAGTTTTTAAGCGTTTCTATATGCAAGATCATGAATACTTGAAAAAAATCTGTATTCTGTTGCTGTTAGGATGTTTTATATATGTCTGACAACTCCAATACAGAATAAAAAGAGGTTATTGAATAACTTATTCTGAGTTAACTCAAATCTTTTAAAAATATTTATGCACTTACTTGAAAGAGAGAGAGAGAAACACCCATTCATTGGCTCACTAACTCACTGCATGTTTGTTCCTCACATTGGTACAAGGATTCAAATACTTGAGCCAACACCAACTGTTAACTACTTGAGCCAATACCTACTGTCTCCTGGGGTGCACATTAAGCTGGAGTTGAGAGTACAGCTGGGCCTCAAACTCATGCACTCTGATAATGGATGCTAGCATCCCAACTGATGACTTAACTACTGCACCAAACACGAACCTCTTAACTCATATATAAACAAATTTGGACAGTTCAAGAGTTTTAGCACATGGTAGGCTTCCAGAAAATTTGTGTTTCCCACGTCGGGCATTTTTTTCTTTACGAATTACATTTTTATTAATAAAAGAACAGATTTACTGTAGTTCATAGATATTCTAAGTATATAATGATTTCCTTCCTTCCTTCCTCCCTTTCTTTCTTTATTTCTTGTTGAGATAACAGTTTTAATTTCATTTAATTTATATTCAAAGATTTATCGTCAAATGCTTAGGGCTCCACTAAACAAAGAGTTCAATGAACATTTTTTAAGCTTTCCATTCAAGAACTAATTTTGTACCTATGTGTAAGAATTTTATTTTGTAGATGTTAAACTTCTAAGCTCAGCCTATCCTTTCAAAGTTTAGAAATACTTTTTGATTCCCAATTCAGAAATTATTCCTCCTCCAACTAAAAGACTAAGTCCTGGGTATTATTTCCAGGGACCTCCATTGAAGATGAGGTTCCATCAGACAATTCTATTTGACTTCAAAGATATCAGCCTACTTGTTTTTTTTTTTTTTTAGCTGTTTCTTTTCTTCATGGACACATAATTTTAAAAGAAAGCTACATGAATGCCTTGATAATATCTATGACATTTCCTGGCCCACCAGCCTGGTAAACTTTTCATGAAATCTCAGGAGGTCAGTTTGACATAATTTCTTATTTGTGAACTCAGGCTTATATCAGTGATTGCTGTTAATTGCTCTTGAAACATACCTTTTCATAATGTATTCTATGGTCTTTTCCATTTACTATTTCAGATTAAGGATGTCTTTGCTCCCAGATCTTCCCTGAAGCTAACCAAAAACAATTAGGCAAATGAGATCTAGAAATCAAAACTCTGCGTTTGATGAAACTTGGAAGTATTTATAACCTTGAAACCAAAAAGTAAGGGTACTCAAATACATTGAAAATTGGAGCAAGGTAAAGAAAACACTGAGAATGCTACAGACAGAGTCCCAGAAAAATGGGTGATATAACCTGAAAGAAGAAACAAATGATCCTTGTTTGTTTTAAAATAAAATCAGTTTTCATGCTTGTGGGGAGAACATCCTGGAACTCTAATCACCACATAGTGATAGAGGAGGTAGAGACTGGGAGAGCAAAAGACACATATACACCCCACTACTACTCCACACTATGCAAACAGGAGTTTCCTAGGAGCAAGGGGAAATTTTTGCTAGTTAGAAGTAGAATCACAATTACAGGGAGAAGTATTCATAAGAGTTTATTTAGACAGCAAATGATATTCAATCTACCTATTCTTTATTAATCACTTGCAACCACTCATTACTATCCTGCTCAGTTGTTCAATCACTCCACAAATGATACTTCCACATATAACAGAGCTAGTAAATAAATGCTTGAAAATAACTTAAAGTAATAACTGAATACAGGCTATAATGGTACTTATACAAAACATCTTGCAGAAAGGAGGAAATAATTGGTGAAGAACACACAAAAGAAACTTGGAACATAAGAGAAAATATGTCAGAACCAATTACAAAAAACAAGTGAAGAAAAATAAATGAAGGTAACTGACACTGTTGAAATGGTCAGGACACGCAAGACCATATTGAAAAAAAAAAAACCAGCTAAAATGAAATGGAAAATAGAGCTAAATTTTTAGAGAAGAAATTATAACTATTGAAGACAAAAATGTCTAGCATATGTATAATCTGTGACTCTAGGAAAAGAATAGAACAGGTTTATGTTTTCAGAAAGCCTTTTCTAAAACATAGAGTCACAAATCTAAAGATTTAAAGGGATATTTAGTAGTCTAGGAAAAAATCAGAGAGATTGACCAAGATATATTCTTATAACTAGAAATTACAAAATAAAGATGTATTCATAAGGGCTTCTAAAACATAAAATCAAGTACCCTGTGATGTGAGAACTACTGAGGCTGGCTTAAGATTTCTGGTTAACAATATTCAGTGCCAGAATTGAGTATGGTAATATATGTTTACAGAGTTATCAGAGAAAGAAAATATGGTGCATGAATTGCACAATTGCTCAACTATAATTCAAGTGTAAATGAAAGGGACAGATAATTCTACATATGCAGGATGGTAGTAATTAAGGTCCCCATGATTTCTTCCTAAAGAACATTCTAGAATATAGCTTTAAGGTAAATAAGCAATTAATGAAAAATGGATAAAAGGATTATTTTTTTAAAAGTTAGAGTCCAAGCCTCTGGGTGACTTTATGAATACCAATGAGCCCCACTTGAATCTAGTGGCATCACACCTAAGTTTGATTGCACACCACAAGACATAAACCCTCCATGATATCTGCCCTCTTTGCTTTGGTCCCACTGACACTCCTGGTTGCCAAGAAGCACTCCAGTTGAGAATTGGATTGATGACCCCAGTGAATAGCACATAGCCCTGCCCAGTTCCTGCAGGCTACAGGCTACTCACTCCTGGTCCCAATACATTTCTCTCAGGGGGTACTTCCTAGCCTCTCCTTTACTATAGCTTACCTTCATCTCCAGGGCCTCAGGCACCTTCTTGCCTTCCCAAGCCCAACTCCGTTTGGTGAAGTAGTTAACAGTAGCAAATTCAATCAGCGCAGAAAACACAAAGGCATAACAGACGGCTATGAACCAGTCCATGGCCGTCGCATATGCCACTTTAGGTAAGGAGTTTCTGGCACTGATACTCAAGGTGGTCATGGTGAGAACAGTGGTAACACCTGGGGAGAGAGAAGATGAGAACCAGTTGCAACTGGAAGATTTTAAGAGCATAGTTGTTGAGATCACCAACTTATTATTCAAAAGGAGGAGTTTTCTCCCACTGACAATAGCCCCTTTAAAGTTAAAAAAAAAAAAAGAATATTAAAGCTAGATGGGGGCCGGTGCCACGGCTCACTAGGCTAATCCTCTGCCTGCGGCGCCAGCACACCGGGTTCTAGTCCTAGTTAGGGTGAGGGATTCTGTCCCGGTTGCTCCTCTTCCAGTCCAGCTCTCTGTTGTAGCCCGGGAGTGCAGTGGAGGATGGCCCAAGTCCTTGGGCCCTGCACCCGCATGGGAGACCAGGATAAGTACCTGGTTCCTGGCTTCAGATTGGTGCAGCGCGCCGGTCGTGGCAGCCACTTAGGGGGTGAACCAACAGATAAAGGAAGACCTTTCTCTCTGTCTCTCTCTCTCTTTCACTAACTCTGCCTGTCCAAAAAAAAAAAAAAAGCTAGATGGGTCTGATTCACGACCACTGCATCCCAATTGGCATAGGAATCATCATCTGTGTGCAGTACTTCTAACAACTGTCCTCTAGTCTCTCCTTAAATATTTCCATGAAGAGTTGTTATTCCATTTCATTGTAAGAGTTTTTTTCTGAAAAAAAAATCATTTATTTTTATTTCTTTGAAAGGCAGAGAAACACAGGCAGATATTTCTCATCTGGTGGTTTACTCCCCAAATGCCCACAACAGCTGGGATTGGGTCAGGCTAAAGCCAATAACCAGTTTAGTCCAAGCTTTCCACATAAGCAGTGGTGACCCAATCACTTTATCTGTCTCCTGTTGCCTCTTAGAGTACACCTTAGCTGGAACACGGGATTGGGAGTAGAGCCAAAACTTGAAGCAAGGCACTCTGATATGGATTGTGGGTGTCCCAAGTAGCAACTTAACTCCTGCACTGAATGCCTGCCCTGTAAGAGATTTTAAACAGAAAAATTTACCACATGAACTGAAACCCACCTTCTTTTAACCACGAGACCCACCAACTCATCACAGAGCTCCTGTGGCCTCACAGGTAGGAAAATCCTGCTCCCTTCTCTCCAGGACAAAGCCACTATGTTTCCTTGTGAATTTGCTTATCACCAGGATGAACACAGAGATTCATGTTCTCATGAACTCCTTCTTTTGTTCACCTTCTCTTTCATTTTGGTAGTTCTCTTCTGGACAAGCCAGAACTGGGTCCACAATCAGGACATCGATGTGTGACTTCAGTAGGGTTCGACTTCCTTAATTCTGCACATTCTTCTTATATTTCTCTTAGATTGTTGTTTTAACTATGGCAGAATGTCCCTGTTGAGCTTCATGGACAACCAAAGCTATTCCAAAATCTATTTCTTCTGAGTTTCTGACAAACCAGAACTTTCAATTGGTTCCTTTTCTTGGAGGCAGTGGTATTAAACTTAAATTGAAGACTGTCCTTTTATTCACTTGTAAATTCCATTTAAATTATTTCCTGATCTTCTCATATGTTAGATATGCTAATGAGCAATATACTGTCATAGTAAACAGTATAAGCTTCAGAGTCAGACTGAACAAGACTGAAACCCAGGCAATCTTATTTGCTAGTAATATGACCTCGAAAAAGGTGTTTTACTCCATGAAGCCTCAGCTTTATCATGTGTGAGGTAAGCTTGATAATACCAGGTGATACACAAATTTGTTGAGGAATTGACTGAGATATTTATAAAGTTTATAGCATAGCATCTGACACAACATAACTCTACAAAATCATCTTCTATAATTAACATTGCTATTAATTTTACTGTTATCAATAGTATTGTCTTAATTATAGTAGTATAATCATAAGATTGTTAACAATAATACTAGTTTTACAATTACTAGCAATAGTATTGTAGTTTGGGTACTATGCTAGAAATTAGAAATCCCGAGTGCTGCTACTTCCCTGGTTTATATGAAGAGTCTTCAAAAATTTGTGGAAAATAAGTACTATGGAAAAATAAAACTATGCATGTTTTTAAAGATTTTGCACCAAAATTAACTTATCTTTTATTTTTATTTTCAATTAACTTTTTGATATACCATTGTATCTTGAGAAATTTCCTCAGTCTGTCTGCCTTCTTTCTCTTCGTGTCTGAATATTTCCTATCATCTTGCTCCCCCAGGATTATAAGGCAGTTTCTGTACTCAAGCCCAATGAGAATTGAAGAAGGAGAAATGATCAGAACTCTTTGGCATACAAAGGAAGATGGAATGTAAGCCTCATGAGTTTGGGCCAAGTAGGCCATGGAATGAAATTCTAATAGGGTGAAGTATGCTATATATTAAAAAAAGAGAGAAAAGGCATGGCTTCTATTTATCTCTACCTAGAGTTAGCTCTGTGTGCTATAGCCTCTTGGGCATTCCAACCTATTTTTCTACCTTGAGTAAGTTTACTTATTCATTTGCTATCTAAGTGAAAACTGGTACTGAAGAAGATTCAGTATACTTTTAGCAGAGAGGACTGAAAGGATCATATTTGCACATACTAGGCAGGGAGTCACCAAAGCTGATTAGCACTAACACATTTTTAGCCATGTCAGGAATCTGCCACATAATTTGTGCCTTTTAACAAACTATCTGAATCTGTAAACTCTGAGAATAGACCCAAAGATCAGTAGCCCTCAGATCATATTAAGTGTTACAAATGGAACAGAATTTGGCTCCCTATCTGATGCAGATGTTTAAGTCACAAAATCATGGATTAGTGATACTTACAAGGTTGAAGGTTTGAGCCAATTATTCTGTCTGAAAGGTGGATCTTTGGGAAGAGTTTAAATTTGACTATGTTACTGTCTGTAACTCTACCTTTCAAATAAAATAAATAAAATCTTAAAAAAAATTAACTATGTTGCTGAGGTGGAGCCCCTATGAATCATGGTGCCTTTTAAGGAGAGAGAATGCTCGTAGTCTCTCTGCTTCTAGCTGGCCACATGATCCTTGTCTGTGTATTCTACTATCCACCACTCTCCTCAGACACCACTTGGTCTGTGACTGTGAATCTTTAAAACCATTAACTGAAATAAACCTTCTCCCTTTATAAGGTATACATATTCTCCTGTCATGTATTTGTCATAGGGGGAAAAAACGATAACTAATGCATTGAGCAAGGGATGACTAATACATTATCAGCCAATGCTATTGTCCACCTTGGCACATTTGTAGCAGTGTACTAGTGCTTAGATGGAGAGAACTTTACTGCAATCTAAGTGTTCCTGTGCCATATCACAATAGCGATTTTTAGAGTTCTAGCCTGTAGGGCTTAATTAGAACTGCCATCTTCTGAAGAGCTCTTAGCTCGTCAGAGCTGGTAGGAGGACCCTTAAGCATTCAGCACACTGCATGGATGGATGAAGAGATTCTTAGCATTTTAAAAAAGAACAAGTCTGTCACCCACTGCTTCTCTTTAAAGATTCTTCTAGAAAGATGTCCTAGGCAACCCGGTGAGAGACATTGCAGGGGAATCTGAGCTTACACTGAGGACTGCACAGATCTTTGTGTGGTCCCTGGGACAGAGCAGACGAATATTATACCCACTGGGGCTAGTGCTCAGCACTGATTGCCATCGAGGAGAAGAGCTCAGCTGAGTGGAATTACTTCCCTTCTAAATAAAGAGAGAGAGAAAGAGAGAGAGAGATTGATTTACCACGCCAAACCTGGGTGTCACCTTTGGCACACCCTTAACTGTGAAGAACCAAAGAGCTCTCTGGCCACACGCACCATAAGACTCTAGAGATTCATCAAAAGCAGAGAGTCCACTTAATCTAGAGTCATAGTATAACGAGAAAAGCCACTACAGCAAGGAAAAAAAAAAAAAGAAGAAGAAACCAAAGAATATCTCCACCATGCCAAACAACAAACACAGAAACCTAGGAAACAAGAACAAGGAAGACATTATGACACTCCCAAATGAACATGACACTCCAATACAAGATTATGAAGATGATGAGATAAAAGAAATGCAAGATACGGATTTCAAAAAATTTATCATAAGAACATTTAGAAGTTATCAAAAACAAATACATGAACTACAGAAGTCCATACAGGACAGGGCAGAAAATATCTCTCATGAAAATGAAATCTTAATGAGAAATCAAAATGAAATAAGGAATTATTAACATTTCAACTTGGAAGTTCTCACATTGATGCAGTCAGTGTAAATATGAAGTCTAAATTAGTGTAAGGTCAAGTTTGAATTAAAAATGTATTCCCAAGGAATCCCATATTTCACACAGAACTCAGACCCAAATAATCATGCTTCTGTATTATCTCCCTACACTGATAAGTGTATTTTTCTAATGCTCTCTTGCATTGAAATCATATATAACTGTTTGGTGGTATTGGATTTATGGGAAGGGTCCTTGTATTAATTTCCTATGGTTTATGTAAGAAATTTCCAAAAATGTAATAGCTTAGAACTACACAAATATATTCTTACTAGTATTGATGCCAGAAATCTAAAATCAGTTTCACTGGGTTAAGGTCAAAGTACCAGCAGGGTTGCACTCACTATGCAGGCTTTACAGACAAAATCCACTTGGACTTCTTGGCTCATAGTCCCCATCCTCCTTCTTTCAAAGCAACAGCTGACCATCTTTCAGTCTCTCCTGTTGCCATCAGCACACTGCTTTCTTCCCTGTAGTCAAATATCACTCTATCTCATTCTTTTCTTAAAAGATTTATTTATTTATTTATTTGAAAATCGGAGTTACACAGAGAGAGAAGGAGAGGCATAGAAAGCAAAGTCTTCCATCCATTGGTTCACTCCCCAGATGGCCACAATGGCCAGAGCTGTGCTGATCCAAAGCCAGGAGCCAGGAGCTTCTTCCAGGTCTCCCATGTGGGTGCAGGGACCCAAGGACTTGGGCCATCTTCTACTGCTTTCCCACACCATAGCAGAGAGCTGGATTTGGAGCGGAGTAGCTGGGACTCAAACTGGCACCCATATGGGATGCTGGCACTGTAGACTGCGGCTTTATCTGCTACACCACAGCACTGGTGCCATATTTCACTCTTAGAAGAACACTTTTGATAGTATTTAGTGTGCATCCAATAATCCAAAATAATCCCCCTCATCTTACATTCTTTAATTTAATCACATCTGCAAAAATTATTTTTGCCATAAAGACATGTGTTCACAAGTTACAGGGACTACAACATGGATATCTTTGGGAGCCATTATTCAGCCTCTCAGTCTTAATTCTAGTTGTCTCAGGCTCAGTGCTCTTCTTGTGTAACCTTAAAACTCAAACTCTTGCTTCCCAAGACCAGTCATCCACCCACTCGTTCTCCTGCTACAACAATATCTGTTCTTGTGATTTACACTCCAGTTTTTTTGTTTAAATTTTTTTAAAAATTTAAGTCAGATGAAATTACTTTTTAAAAGATTTATATATTTATTTGAGTGCCAGTGTTATAGACAGAAAGAGGGAGAGACAGGGAGAGGTCTTCCATCTGCTGGTTCACTCCCCAAATGGCCACAATGGCCGGAGCTGGTCCGAACCAAAGCCAGGAGCCAGGAGCATCTTCCAGGTCTTCCATGTGGGTTCAGAGGTCCAAACACTTGGGCAGTTTTCCTTTGCTTTCTCAGGCCATAAGCACAGAGCTGGATCAGAAGTGGAGCAGCTGGGACTCAAATCAGCACCCATACTGGATGCTGGCATTGCAGACAGGAGCTTAATTTGCTACACCACAGCGCTGGCCCCTACACTTCAGTTTTAAGTTCCTTCTCCTCTATGGACCCCTGATTATTTCCCTTATTTCTTATGTGCTCAGGTATTAATTTAAAAGAATGCTTTATGTAGATTGTCTAAAATTTTGTGTAGATTTCAAGGTGTATACTTTGTTACATTTCTCAAAATGGGTACCTTAGACACATTCCCAAATACCTTCTTCTCTTTCTACTTTACTCGAACTATTCAAGACTAGGTCACTAACCACAAAGCCTGTCATCATACTCAACAGTTACTGTGTGCATATCACATAAACTCGCAGAATTCACCCCAGATGACCATTCCCTGCTTCTTGAAGTACTCTCCTCTCTTGACTCCTTCTGATTGTTTTCCTTTTTCCCACTTGATAGGTCACCCCTTTTCTCCACTGCTGTCTCTTCTTATATCTCACCTAAATGCTGCTTCTTTCTGAAACCGTGTTTGTGCCTCACAGCCATCATTACTATGGAGCAGGGGTAGGGAATAGCTGGCCTGGAGGCCATATAAGGCCCATAAAATCATTTGGTCTGGCCCTGCCAAGGCAACCAGAGGCAAGACTTGAAATTCAATAAGTCTATGGCGGGTTAATTTTTAAGGTGATGATTTTCTGTGGCCCATGAATGATATTATAATTATCGAAATGGCCCTTGGCAGAAAAAAAAATTCCCTACCCTTGTGGAGTTCAGTAGCCTAAAATAATTAATGAATATATATATATATATATATATCTCCTAAAATATTACAGAAGGTAATGTATGGAAGTGAAATTGACACTTTGAGATGCAATGACTATGAACAGCTCTTGTCTCGACTGTTGAGGAACAGTTTTTTTCATATTATTTGTTGAACTCTTTACTTGGTATACAGTTAACCTTATGTGTATAAAGTTAATTGAAAATAGATTTTAGTAAAAAATACGAATGGGAATACCAGAGGGAGGAGGAAAAAGGGTAGGAGTGTGAATGGGAGGGCAGGTACAGTGGGAAAAATCACTATGTTCCTAAAATTATATTTATGAATTGCATAGAGTTTGTATTCCTTAAATAAATAGTTTCTGGGGAAAAATATTACAGTGGGTAAAACAAAATATTTTCTATACTTTTTCTATGAGGAAAAAGGTGTTAATGAAATGTAAATAACTTCCTAGATATCAGTACATTCACACTAAAGAAAATTCCTCTGATTATAGGTAGTATAGAAAATCCCTTCAAACTTTGGGCCATCTTTACTGAATATAAAATAATTCTAAATTTCAAAAATGTTGGAAGAGAAGTAGCAAGGTTCAGTGCTCAAACAAAAAAAAAAGTCTTTAAAAAGCCACAAATTCATTTATCTGTTGTCACCTTAGTTTCCCACCCTTCACCTTCTGCAGTTTGTGCACTAAATTCCTCTCCTTTTAACTGAAGTTTCAATTCCTTTCCAGCTCCTGAGGCAACCCCAACTGCATCAAGAATCATTTCAGTAATCTCACTACTGCAATATTCTTCATTTTCCCACTTCTTTGTTAAGAATCCAGTAGCCTGAAACCCCATTATCTGATGACTTGATTAATACTGTTAGGCTCAGGCATTGCATCAATTATCTTCAGAAAAGGTTCTTCCGTCTTTCCCACCTATACTCTGACTACCCAAGATTGCAGATATCTCCCCCATTCTCTATAAAACAACACTCACCAAAGACTGTGCGGGCAGGAACAGACTCTCTGTTGAGCCAGAAAGACACCTGTGACAGAATGACAGTCATGATACATGGCAAGTAGGTCTGGATCACAAAGTAGCCAATTTTTCGCTTGAGATGGAAGTGAGTTGTCATGACAACATATTCTCCTAGGAAGAGAGTAAAATTAGGCGGTAGGCATCCACAGAAACATTCTTAGATCAAGTTGGGCCCCAGCTCAGTTCACAAAGCTCCTACATCTCACATTCAAGACAAGACATCCCAGCACCTCTCAAGTCTACATAACTACATCTCTTTAATAATCACAAAATAGTGCATTTCATGTGTGGGGAAAATATGCTAACAATCTACCAACGTAAGGTTTTCAAAGCAATTATGACACAATTTCATTCAAATATTAATATTCTCATTTAAGTAATATTAAGAAGTAGCAATCTCTTACAGCAGCTGTATGAGGTAGGAACTATTGTTACCTTCATTTTGCAGGTCAAGAAACTGAGAGAGAGATTAAATAACTTACACAAGGTTACACAGCTAATAAGTAGTGGCACTCTAATTTAAGTCCAGATTGGTTAGCTCAGCAGTTTATTCTTTTTAACTACTATGCTCTGCTGTTCTAATAGGCTTGCACAAAGAGCTCACACAGCAGAATGTGGGCTACCCCGCTCCAAAAGTAAAAATGAACATTATTGAGCTTTGATTGTGTCAAATAATTTTCTGAATGTTCTTGGAATATTAAATTTATGTTCTTCCAATATTCTTTTCAAACTAACAAATAGGTAGAAATTGTTACCCCATGTTGTTCAATCCAATAGTCGGTTCTCAGTTTTACTGGGTTTGTCGGCAATATTTAACACAGGTAAGCCCTTCATCCTCCTGGAATCAATCTCTGCATGGCACTTCCAAGCCAAGGTGCTCGTCTGCTTTCTCTCCTACCTAACCGCTCTTCTCCTGTCTCCCTTGCTGATAACTCCCTAGAGCACACCTTCTGCCTGGATTTCCTATCTATTTTGCATTGAATTGTGTCTCCTAAAAAGAGGGGGTAAGTTTCTAACCCCTAGTATCTCAGAATGTGAACTTATTTAAAAATAGGGTTGTTGCAGATATAATTATTTAAGATACAGTCATACTGGTTTAGGCTGGGTTCTTAATTCTTCTAAGAAGACATAAACAGGGAGAAAACCATTAAAGTCAGAGACAGAGATTGGCATGCTGTATCCACAAATCAAGGAGAGCCAAGGATTGCTGGCAACCATTATGAGCTAGGAAGAACATGGGACAGATTTCTTCTCAAAGCTTCTTAAAAAAAAAAAGCCCTGTAGATGGCTTGATTTTAGATTTTTAGCCTTCAGAACTGAGAAAGAATCAATTTTTCTTATTTTAAGTTGCTCAGTTTTTGGAACTTTGTAGCAGGAACCCTACATTTTCTATTCAACTCTAAATTTATATATTTACCTGCTAGCCATTACCGCTTTGGGATCTAAATGGCATCTTGACCTAAGATGTCCAAATCTTGGCTTTTATTTTGTCATCCCTCATCCCTTTCAAAATTGGCTCCTCCAACAGACCTTTGTTTTTCAGTAAATAGTAGCTAGCTCTCAGGTACCTAGGCCAAAATCCGATCTTCAAAATTCTCAATATCATCACCATCATCATTGAGTTCTCTCTCTCACAGAGACATATGCACACATAATCAATCCATCAGCAATCTCTTCCAGTTCTTTCCTTAAAATATACCCGTAAATTGACCACTCCTCACAACCTCCACTGCTGCCACTCTGGTCTAAGCCACTGTCACTTCTCATTAAGTTTCTAACTGGTCTTCTTTCTTCTGTCCTTTCTCCCCCTTCAATGGATTAGCACAATGCAAAAAATAACCCTATTAAAACATAAGTCAGATCCTGTTTCTACTTGAGACCATCCAATGGTTTACCATCTCTCAAAGGGTAAAATCCAAAAACTTCAAAATAATCCCCCAAAGATCCATGCCGTCTGACCATTATAATCTCTCTCTTATCAGAGCTTTTTATTTGTCACTCCTGAACGAGGAAACGTCACACATTCCTACCCTTCCCACTCCCTTGTGTTATAAGCCTAGGAAGCACCATCTTGTCATCCCATGCTCAATACTTAATCCATATTGTGTGTGTGTCTGTGTATGTGTGTGTCTACATTTACATCCTAGCTTAATTATGTGAACATGAAAAATATATGCAGGTGTCTTTTTAATTCAGTAAAGAATCTCATACACAGCTATGTGGAATATTTTTCTCATTACACATGTGGATGTCTATTTTCTTTTTCTATGCCTCTTTGTGAAAATTTCTGTTTCTTTGTTTTCTCTGTCTCTCTGCGAATGTCCAGCTATACTCCTTTCTCTTGTTTCCCTTCCCTTCAGTTTCTCTTCCCACTGATAAGGCACTGAGGATTCCTTTTTCATCAGAGTTGGACTTTGGTTAGCTTGGATAATTTTCTTCTTGTCACTATCAGTTTCACATCCCTGAACCCCTAGCTATTATTGCTATCTCTTTTCCTGTGAAATATTTAATATACAAAGCATATAATAATGTTATTCATAAGTTAGTAACATTTTATGGATCTTAAATATCTTAAAAGCAAATGGACTTTTAAAGATTTATTTCATTTATTTAAAAGGCAGAGTTATAGAGAGAGGTAGAGACACAGAGGGGGGAGCGAGCGAGCGAGCGAGAGAGAGAGAGAGTCTTCCATCTGTTGGTTCACTCCCCAATTTGTAATTTACAAGTGGTCTTTTATAAAGCTTAGGAAATTCATTCATTGTATAAAATGAAAAAGTTTTCTTAAATACAATTGTAACATTTTGTATCTGTATACAGAGCTTCTCTGCCAAAGTGAGAACTGAAGCTTTACTCAGGTTGGAAGATTTTTCCAACTTCCTCTGTCCTATTTCCACCTTTGTGTCCCAGCTTTTTAACCTGATTACATACTATTTGGTTTGCATGTGAACTTTTCAAGGGTACAATATGAAACATATAGTATGTGCTTATTTTTAAATTAATTATTATCTATGGTTCAGAAATGCAGAATGACTTAGCAAGTTGATGCCTTACATAACTGAATATATTTTCCTAAAGTGGAACTTTACATTCCCTTCCTCATTGCCTCTATTTTCTGTCCCTCTCTATCTCATTTCTTATTAGGAAGGATGACCCCTTAAGTTGTTTGAGAAATATCTCCCCTGCTTTTGCACTCCAGCCTATTCAACTCCATCTGTGTTAAATGTGAAATACTGGAAGATACAATGTATCCTTAGAAGCCAGTTTCTAAGGTTGTGAAACAAAAGTTTTTAAATAGCCTGGCAAATTAACTCATTATACCAAGTAAGTGGATATATTTTCTTAATCCATGTTTGGCATTTTCCATCGCCCTTCTATTTCTTTAGCTTTCCTTTTGTATTCGTTTAATCTCTATCCCTCTAGCTTCTCTTTGTGTGTGTCACTTTCTTTTTTTAAATTTTATTTAAGTTATAAAAATTTCATGTATTTCATGTATACAGATTTAGGAACATAGTGATACTTCCCACCCTACCCTCCCTCTCACCCATGCTCCCAACCTTCCTCCTCCTTCCTCTCCCATCCCCACTGTTAATTTTTACAATGATTTACTTTTAATTTACTTTATACTTATAAGATTAACCCTATAATAAGTTTAAAAATAGTATGAAGAAAAAAAATTACTGATCCTCAACAGTAGAGACAAGGGCTGAAAACAGTCATCAAACCTTAAAGTGTCAATTTCACTCCAATACATTACATTTTTCGTACTCTAGCAGTTACCACAGTTCAGGGAAGAGATGATATTTGTCTTTTTGAGCCTAGCTTATTTCACTAAGCATAATAGTTTCCAATTGCATCCATTTTGTTGCAAAAGACAGGAATTCATTCTTTTTATGGCTGGAGTAGTATTCCATAGTGTGTATAGTTTTTTAGTCCAGCTATCAGTTGATGGACATCTGAGTTGATTCCATATGTTAGCTATTGTGAATTGTGCTGCAATAAACATGAGGATACAGATAAAGTCTTTCATATGCTGCTTTCATTACATTTGGTTTGTAAATTCCCAGGAGTGGGATGGTTAAGTCATATGGTAGATCTATTTTCAACTTTCTTAGGTATCTCCATACTGTCTTCCATAATAGTTGTAGTAGTTTACATCTCCCACCAACAATGTATTAGGATACTTTTTCCTCCACATTCTCACTGGTATTTATTGTTTGTTGATTTCTGTATGAGAGCCATTCTAACTGGTGTGAGATAAAAGCTCATTATAGTTTTGATTTGCATTTCCCTGACAGCTAGTGATCCTGAGCATTTTTTCATGTGTCTGTTGGCAATCTGAATTTCCTCTTTTGAAAAATGCTTGTTCAAGTCCTTTGCCCATTTCTTAACTGGATTGTTTGGTTTTGTTGTTGTTGAGCTTCTTGGGCTCTATAGATACTGGATAGTAATCTTTTTTTTTTTTTTTGACAGGCAGAGTTAGACAGTGGGAGAGAGAGAGAGACAGAGAGAAAAGTCTTCCTTCCATTGGTTCACCCCCAAAATGGCCGCTACAGCCGGCGCGCTGCACTGATCCGAAGCCAGGAGCCAGGTGCTTCCTCTTGGTCTCCCATGCAGGTGCAGGGCCCAAGCTCTTGGGCCATCCTCCACTGCCTTCCTGGGCCACAGTCCAGTGCTGGACTGGAAGAGGAGGAACCAGGACAGAAAACAGCTCCCCAACTGGGACTAGAACCCGGGGTACCAGCGCCACAGGTGGAGGATTAGTCAAGTGAGCTGCGGCACCGGCAGGATATTAATCTTTTTTTTTTTTTTTTGACAGGCAGAGTTAGACAGTGAGAGAGAGATACAGAGAGAAAGGTCTTCTTTTTTTCCGTTGGTTCACCCCCCAAGTGGCCACTACCGCCAGCGCGTTGCGTCCGGTGCACTGCGCTGATCTGAAGCCAGGAGCCAGGTGCTTCCTTCTGGTGTCCCATGGGGTGCAGGGCCCAGGGACTTGGGCCATCCTCCACTGCCTTCCCGGGCCACAGCACAGAGCTGGACTGGAAGAGCAGCAACCAGAACAGAATCCAATGCTCCGATCGGGACTAGAACCTGGGGTACTGGTGCCGCAGGCA